GCTTTCGTGGGGTACAGGCCACTTCTTTGGGTGGAAGAAATGGGCGTTTGTGCACCAAAGCTTTTGCTCTAATAAAATTGTTAGTCTCTAAGGTGCCACAAGTACTCCTGTTCTTCTTTTTATAGGAGTGTTATTTCAATTTCCTAACTGTGGATTTCCTCATTATTTATATTTACCATATTAAGATAAATCTTTGTGCCCAAAGAAGCATGGACTGGGAGGCATTCACTTGGAATCTATTGTCTTTGGTTATTTTCAGCCAGTATTTTAATATTATTTCGACGTAATATCTTGTGATATTAACAGGTCAGACAGAAAATGTAATGAAATGTGTTCTGATGCAAAATGTCCTTTCTTATTTGAATTGTACAAGTTTCTTACCTAGGATTGTATTTGTTATTGGGTCCATGTAACAAATCAATCTTGAAATGCACTGTAAGAAATGTAGTGGTGATTTAGCATGCTTCAGAGAGAGAGAGATTGAGAGTGCCAAACAAAGGGACTCTCACATAAGGTGGAAAGATAAATTCATTGGTATAGTGAGTGACATGAATGACTAGCATCGTGAAAGCAATCCACCAGTCTCATACTGAGCCAAGGATCTTGTCTACTTAAATATCACTACCTGAAAACTTGCAAAAGAGCCATTGATTAGGAAGAGGTGGGTTCATTATCTAACTCCCTCCCCCCACAAAAAAACCCCTATATTTTGCAGGTAGATTGACCTACTCATCACCGTCACAGAAAATTCGCTAAGTCATTGGAAAGTTCAGAAATTAATTTTTCTCTTTTTGTGAATTTTGCCAAATTTAACAAAAAAAAACCAAAACTTTTTTTCTGTTTTTCTTGGTTTTGTTTTTGCCCTTTTGAGAAACTGACAAAATAAATTAGCCTTTTTCACTAAGGGCTAGACAGAGCCAGTAGGCTTGGCTCAGAGTAGGGGGCAATGCATAAAATGCACTGCCCCCGAAGTAGTTAGGGAAGGAATTGTGCTCCATGGCTCTTCTCTCTCTCTCTGGGGAAGGAGTACTTTGCTACAGCCATTTGCAGGGGGCACCATGCTCCCCCATTCACACCTAGGTCTACACACTCCCTGCTCACTTGTCCCTGTTCTTCCTCCTGAGCCTGGAGCCACTATCCGTGCAAGACTAATGTGGCCACACAGAGAGTATAGAGGGACTTTAACCCCCCACCGTTTACTCACATGTGTTACTATGTATGGGGAGACTTTGGCAAATCAGTAAAGTGCTTGAAACCACTATGGCTTATTGTTAAAGACAGCCTAGTCAGCAAGCTGTAAATTGACCATTCAGCAATCTCAGCTTGACCAAGGCAGGAGGGGAGGGGGTTCTGGGTACCCCCCCCTCCCCGCCTTGGTCAGAAAGGGCAGCTTGACCCCGTGTCCTTCCTGATAAAAAATGTGTTGAAGTTGCTGATACATGCATTTTAAAAGAGCAGGATGTACCCTCAGGAATGTCTATTGGGGTCTCAAGGCTGCTGACTCTGGAAAGACCCACACCTGGTTAATCAATAATCAGAAGGAGTCTCTTGCTTGCCCAGTGGAACTGCTTGCTTGACAAGTGAGCAACCCAGAATACCATGGATCTACTGGCACGACAAAGATTGTGTTTTGTGTTTTATGTTTTGTATTTTGTCTTGTGTTGTTTGTCTTGTTGCTAGCATTGTTGTGTATTGTGTTACAAAACAAGAAAATACTGCATTAGGCAGAAAAGGATGAGCAAGCATTTTAACTGTATTTACAAAAACCAATGTTGCAGAAGGGCGAAGGTCAAGAAACACCAGTCTATTAACAGGGAAACATCCTTAGGTGGTAATGGCTCATTTAAAAGCAAAATATGCATGAGACACAAGGTGTGTATGTTGGTGGGAATAAAAGAATGGACATAAAAAGTTTTAAAGTACAAAGTGAAATTACCAAGGGAAAAATGGTATGTAAAAACATTGGTTACTAAAAGAATCAGACTTGCCAATTATTACTTCTTAGTCAACTTCCAGCATGCAAGCCCAGCTGAATGCAGCTGGGTGTTGTATGACATTGGATGTAAGGAAAGAAAGGCCCAGTGAAGATATAGCTGCCCTAATACTATCTCAATGTGAACTGCTGAAGGTTATTGGATTTTCCCTGGTACCCAGGAGGGGTGGCTAAAGAAAAGGCTCCCAATAAATGTATTGAACTGCTTTGGGTGGAACTGGATTAGAAGTTGGAGTGCTGGATGCTACTAACATAGAGGTATTGGCAAACAAATGAAGTTATGTTATAAATGTTTCTTTCATTTTATAGCAGTTAGGGTATGTGACTTTGAATTTCATGTACCTGAAGTTAAATATAGTCAGTTAAAAGTATCTTATACTTTGTATTCTATTGTAATACCTGTTCCCCTTGGAATGGTTTTAACTGCTTTACAAACATTGCTTGTACACCCTGATTTACAGAACCAGCTATATACTGCAAAACAGGAAGGGCGCGGAGTCATGGTTACCGTGCATCATAATGCCAATGAAATTAAATGGGTATTTGCAAGAATTGGCCAGAACCTGTCACACCACTGGTGGGAAGTGTTATTGGGATGGTCCCCCACTGGCACAGGCATCCTGAATTTAGCCCTACACCCCATCATAGTAATTTTGGGCTACCAAATAGTAGTGGTTTTTGTTACCAGCCTAATGACATGCTGGACCTGGCGCAAAATCCGGCAATTGCAAGTCCCCTGACGGATGAGTCAGTGGTTACTGCCACCAGCACTCGTACCCCAGGGAAAGGAACATATCGAACTTGTCGCCCCTCCCTTAAATGGGAAAGGAGGCTAAGGCAATCACTTGTCAATTGCTGTGCTGGTGTGCTAAGAATGGGATGCCAACAAGAAGATAATTTGCTCGGTCTTGGCTGAGAGCCTTGAGCTTTCATTGGATCTCAACTCAGGTGCATCCAGAAAAGGTGTGACAGCGATCGTGTAAAAGCCCCCTTGTGTGTAAGGTAGCCTTTAAGGAGGGGAAACTGTACAGGGAGACTTTGGCAAACCAGTAAAGTGCTTGAAACTACTATGGCTTATTGTTAAAGACAGCCTAGTCAGCAAGCTGTAAATTGGCCATTCAGCAATCTCAGCTTGACCAAGGCAGGAGGGGAGGGGGTTTTGGGTGCCACAGAAAGGGCAGCTTGACCCCGTGTCCTTCCTGATAAAAATTGTCTTGAAGTTGCTGATACACGCATTTTAAAAGAGCAGGATGTACCCTCAGGAATATCAATTGGGGTCTCAAGGCTGCAGACTCTGGAAAGACCCACACCTGGTTAATCAATAATCAGAAGGAGCCTCTTGCTTGCCCAGTGGAACTGCTTGCTTGACAAGTTTTCTTTAAGGGACATGTCATTGTATTACTAATGAATAATTAAGGGAGAAAAGCTTGAGATGGGGGTACTCTTCTGGACTAGTCTCTCCCTCTGGATGCATCTTGTGTTCCCCACTGGCAGACGGGCTGTCACTGTGCCACTCGAGAACCACACTCAGCTTTGGTAATTATCAAGGGTTGGGGGTGTTTTACTAATCTTGTTGCAGACGTGTGTAAGTGCTTGAGACTAGTAACATTTAGCTTTAAGTGTTGTCTTGTGTTGTCCTGTTTGTGCCAGCCATCTATCGGTCAGACGGCCGTATCTCCTCTGATTTATTTCCTGACACCTCCTCACACAGAGTAAAGTTACCAAGAGCTTTGGGTTGAAAGAACCCCGGGTAACAGCTAGAGCCACAATCAAGCCCTGTGTGTGTTGTTGTTTTTTGCATAGCAGTAATATGCGCTTGAAGTTTAAGCAGTATAAGCCCCTCTCTCTTTCTGTCACTCTTCATGTCATTCCTTTCTACTCTTCTGCTCTGTCAAATTTGTAATCTAATCCCCCACCACACACACACACACACACACACACACATCCTTCCAGGGCTAATCATGGGGTATTGGTGGGAGGGATTTGCCTGAACATGTTTAATTGTATATATGGTATCCAAGTTTAGAGGTAATCAGACCATTGCAAGTTTGAGTAAAATGTCTCCACTCATTTCATATGAGATACAATTATGGCTCCCAAGAGCCCATAGTTTAGGCAACATCCATATATGGGAGATAATGAATAAATAAATTAAGAAGCTATTTGAGCAGACAGTAGTCCGAAGCACAATATCAAGCACAAGGATTTCATTATGGGTGCAGGTTTGTTTGTTATAACTATAAATCATGTCACTTTATTTTACACAGAAGCAGTGTTCACTGTTATTATCTGATTATAACCCCCACACAAGCTATTTACACCTCATTCTTGGATAATCAGCATAATGATTACCTACCTCCATGTGGTAATAATTAAATGTAAAAGCCGGCAACAAAATAATGAGATTTTATAGGGGGTTTTTAGTTTGGAGGTAATGAGCCTGGAACAAAACATTGAGCCATGAATACAACACAATTTAGATTAATTTCACCAAGGCACAATTTTCTGCAGTTACAAATATTTAATTTTGGCACTCGGAATACAGAAGTGTTTAGAGGCAAAAATATACACTTAAGCCAAAATTTTGGACATTTCAATGCCTCTGTGTAGTTCAATTTAATTCTTAAGATGTTGATGGTTGTGTGGCAGAAGTAGAAGGGGAAAGGAATGTTCACACTAAGACCCTGATCATGCAAAAACTAATATACATGCTTAACTTTACAGCCTTATAAAGGAGCAGATCCTTGCCTGTTGTAAATTGTCATAGCTCCTTTGATATAAATGAAGCTGATACAACTTATGCCACCTGAAAATTAGCCCTATGAGTAGTCCCTTTGAAATCAATGGAACTATACACAAGCTGAGACTGTCAGACCCACCTGAGGGATTTGGATGCTCAATTCCCATTAAAATTAGGAAAGAGAGCACTTCAACTGAACATCATCATCTTACAAGAGTATGGAATATGGCCCCTTATGCACAAGCATAACTTTACACATGAGTAGTGCCATAGAACTGTGTCTTAAATCCATCCAGAAACTGAAGCTAGTGTAGAATTCCGAGCCTTTTTTGTTAAGCAGTGTTTTAGTAAGCATTTTAAACCCGTACTCTATCACATTCATATTATCCCATTACCCCCAATTACACATTGTCCAATTATAATACCCTAATATATTTCTTCTATTCTTTGTGTTGACACCATGCAGATAAATGTAGACTCTTACCATGTTCCTTCTTAGTCATTTTTTGCCAAGATATATCTAGATGTATATATTTAGCCCTTTCAATGTTTCCTTGGAAATCTATTGCTTCAGGCTGCCTAATAATTTTTGATGCTCTTCTCTAAACTCCCTTCAATTTGTCAATATTTAATCTTCTGGTTTTCATTTCTCAGCAACTCATAGTCTAGTTCAGGTCATGAGAGAAAGGGAGAGATTCTTGTCTCCCTTCTCTGTGGAGATGCTTCTCTGTGTGTAGCCCAAAACTGTATCGGCCTTATTTGCTCCCATATTAAATAGTAAGTTGATGTCTAAAGGGCATTTAAAGTTCTGGCTTCCAAGGAGCTTGTTGTCCATAACTGGAGGGTTTTAAGAACAGGTTGGACAAACACCTCACAGGGATAGTCTAGTTTATTTGGTCCAGCCTCCAGGAGGCTGGAATTTATAGTCTCTCGAGGTCCCTTTCAGCCCTACATTTCTATAATTCCATGGTTCTATGTTTCTATGCAAGTAATCCCATTGGCTTTCATGAAGCTACTCATCTGTCTATAGGTATGAATGTGTATAGGTGTTGGTGGGATGAAGGCCTAAGCTCTCTATTAAGATACATATCGTTGCCCTTACATGGGGACAGAGTAATCTAATTTGCCTTTTTTTCTCTTACTGCTATGATCATTCTACAAACACTTTGTTAGAAGAGTGCTATTTTCTCAGCTGAAGCAGAACTATATACTCTCTTGCTTTTGCAAATGGATAGGAATATGTTTTACGACTGTAATATTTTAAACCTTTTATTAGTAATCATTATTTTGTAATTAGCAAGGTTGATATGTGTACTCTCAAACCATTGTGTGTCTGTGTGTAAAGATGAATATAAGAAAGGGCAGCCATACATGTGTTCAGAATAGCTGGAAGAAAGAGATAGGTAGAAGACAGAGCATTAACACTGATTATTTATTAACCCTGGTTCATGATAATATACTGCTAAAGGTGAAAGTGTTTTCTTCTGGAAAAAGGGTTGAGCTGCACTAGCATTTCAATAGATTAAAATAAAAATGAGGTATCTTTTATGAATATCTGTTGACAGCTATGCATCCCATCTTTTAAATGGAGCTCTGCCAGCTAAATATAGTTGTGATTTTTACATTTTTATAAATCCTGTGAGCTCCCCAAGGGGACATTGTCTCTTTTCAATGATTTATATAGTCTGAATTATAAAGGATGATAAGCATTTGCAGCTCAATAGTGTAGTTAATGCTCAGCCCCCAGGGTAACAGAGCAGTGAAGCATTTACTACTCAGTGGTAGTTCTGCAACAATCAGCAGCACTGTGTCTCTTTCATAGTAAATTTACATCAGTGCACTTTGTCCTCAGGGACTTGAACATTCACTCAATGTAGCCTAGGGAAAACAGCTATTATGGGCAGTTTCCAGCCATTTTTTGGTGGCACAATGAAAAAAAAAAAGCTATTGTAACAGAATCATAAATCACAGATAGTGCAACATCAAAATAGCCCTGCTTCTCGTCATAGAATATCAGGGTTGGAAGGGACTTCAGGAGATCATCTAGTCCAACCCCCTGCACAACCCTGGGGACTCCCTGCACAGCATTACACACAGAATGCGGTGGTGTCAAAGATACCGCAGCTGCCCAAATCTTCTGTTCCTCTGCTTATAGAGGGACTATGTAAAGTCCACAAAGGGCTATTTCAGCCAAATGGAACTTCTTCATTTAAAGTAGCTTCATGTTGCAGGATGACTAGCAATAAAAGTGATGACTCTCAGGTACATTTCTTCTTATATGCCACAGAAGATGAGGTAGATGACATTGTGCTGATATCAGAACAGAAGAATGTGTATGAAAGATTTATGAAACTGTTTATCAAATAGTTCATCCCCAACAGAAGATGTTGAGGGCAGGTAAATGAGAACAGGAGGTTGCAGTGCATATGAAAGATGTGATAGCTCACCTCTGTCTACTTGGAAAACATTCCAAGTAACTTTATGCCATGATTATTATTAAAAGGGACATTGTATGACATTATGAAGCTTCTCAAGGAAGGCAGAGGTCATATGCAATGAAAAACACCAGAGGAAGAGGAGGTGTACACAACAGAGATGTTACAGAGCTGCTGACGTACGGTTATGACAGAATGAAATACTATCTCTTTGCGACCACATCCAACTGAAGAGTAGCTTGCTGACAATTATAATCATAACTCCATCCTGGATTCAGCAGCAAATATAAGAAGATTGGTAATTCTCAAAATGCATGGAACTTATGGAAAATGAAAACAAATTGAGCTTGTTAGGTGGGCAAAAATTGGAGGCTCCCAGCAAAGTGTTTGTTCCCACAATTGGCTTAAAATGTTGAGCTCACTGGAAATCTTGCAGATTCCTCATCCTGAAGAAGAATGAGCTTCTTTTCCACAGACTCAGCCCTCGTGTGGGCTTAAATCTGAGGCACTCAGATATTATGGTGTTGAGGGCCATATGAGTACCTAGATAAATAGGGACTGGAATGAGTGCTGTAGAGATGACATTGACAGTACGAAAGAGAGTGGCTTATCTGCTCACTATGGACGAAAAGGTCAGATCTGTGACCTGGACCCACAGAGGAACTTTGAGCTTGAGACGATGGAAAGAAAAGAGAGGGAAAGAGAGCCATGACTAAAATAAAAAAGGAAAGGGTCAAGCCTAGAATCAAAGAGAAGTCAGAGGGGGAAGGGCAGTAGACTAATAGGAAGTCAGAATATAATCTCAGCAGGCTGTGAGATTCAGGTAGCTGACCCATTCCTTCACTTAAAGGAGCTGTTGTAGAGGGAAGGTACAGAGTTAATATTGTAAATCTCACTGAAATAGTACTGACTATCTACAATATGCTAACTCTAATAAAGCATTTACCTTGGTTACTACGAGGGCCTCTCTGTGCTCCTTGCTCTTCTTTGCACCACAACACAACTAAGGCAATATAGTTGCACCAAGGCATAATATGAACTTGCATGGATGCAACTGAAGGCCTAATGTGATACAGAGAACCTTTATTTATGGTGGTAGGGTGTGTGATATGCTGAATATGCAAGGCTGGCATTTAGGAAAAAAGTCCTTTTACTTTCTAAACTTGGTGCAAGTGGCAGAGAAACCGCTGATTCAATCAGCATGGAACTGCACAATGCCAGTTGTACAGAGTCACTTTTCAGAGAGGAATTGCACATGAAAACAATTCGGGAGAAAGTGCAGTAAAATATGTTGCAGGGAATAATCCTAAATTGGCAGAGATTGAACTAGACAGTTTAATACATCTTTTCCATCCCTAATTTCTGTGGCTGATTCTTTAAGTTGCAGGTCCTGTAATTTAGTGTGCCATATAGCTTTTCAGTTATACAAAATCTTCTAATTTAAAACTTGAACTGTGTATAACAAAGTCCAAGTTGCTTGAGAAAGAAGGGAACCTTAATCATAAAAACAGGACTCCAATATGACACTGCCACCTAAAGCCCTAGATTTGATTTGATTTTTTTTTCCTGTGGAATGAAATATACAGATAACAAATATCAGTAGTGCCCAGCTCCCCCTGGGGCCTTTATTAAATCCTCATATTGAGAAAGTGCAGAGCAGTAAAAGTGGGAGAGAAATATGGTTAGGAGGTGAGATAAACGGAAAGGGAATGAAAAAGATTTGGCTTGGGGACTTGCCTCATTTTGTAACTATAGCAGTTGAAAGTGGAGTTTGTCATAATATAGATCAGATAATACATTATATTTGTAACAGTAGCCACTGAATTCACTGAATTCAGTGAATTCAGTGGCTATTGACCTTGGCCTGTCATGTGACAAAACTATAACTTTGACTTGGGGCAGAAAATCAAGATCAGTTTCTAACCAGCACCCTTTATCACATGATGAGAGCTAACTTTTTGGCAAAAATGTGAAGCCCACAGTCTGGGAGGGAACATGATAGAAAACAGGAGAAGCTGATTGCAGTGCTTCTGAATTTTCCTGAAAAGAAATTATATTGAAGAGAAATTTGAGAGAGTTCTCTCCACAATACTACATGCAAATAGGCTCAGAGGCATTGCAGTTCTACGATATATTCCAGTGGGACCATGAAGAAGATTGTAAAGCTGCTAGGAAAAGCCATTAAAATCTTTAAAGAATACTTTGATATATGCAATACTGTTGCTTGGGAAAGTCACATGTTCTTTACAGCTGTCAGGCGAGACCAATGACTGTTATACAGAATTGCCTAATAAAACCAAGTGCTATGACACTGAATAATTAATAGATGGACTAATTAGAGATGGGATTATTTGTGATATAAGTAATAACTGGTTCAAAGTAAAGTTACTCAGAGAAATGGATGTGACATTGCTAAGAGAAGGGGATATTGCAGGTGTAGTGCTTTCCAAATGAAGGTGCTAGCAATCAGTGAAAGACCTGAAATACATCTAATTTAAAAAGCTTCCCAAAGTCTGAGTACAAGGATACATAAGAATGGCCATACTGGGTCAGACCAAAGGCCCATTTAGCCCACTATCCTGTCTTCCAACAGTGGCCAATGCCAGGTGCCCCAGAGAGAATGAACAGAACAGATAATCATCAAGTGATCCATCCCCTTGTTATGCTTATAAGAAGGGAAAAAGCAATACGCCGTGTTTATTGGAGATAAAACAATTAGCATATGCATTCAGTCAGACACACACACACACACACACTGTCCCGCCAGTCGATGTCATAGTTACCAGTCCAGAGTCTGGAGCAACCTAGTGGTCAGCTAGGTTTATTGCAGGTAGGGAGGAGCTAGGTTCTGTCGGTCACGATATGATGCTCTGGGGAAGTCTTGGCAGGAAGAGCCCAAAATTTCATGGCAAAGCACCCTGTTTATATAGTGCTCTTCCTTCATTGGGACCAATGAGTTTTGCACCGTCATGCTGTAATCAATCGCCGTTTGATGAGTGCTTGTTTTCTTAAATTGTTCTTTTTATTCTTTATTTTCTTTATTAGTCTCTCAGGGTTTTGATCACAGCTATTTTGTTCCGATTGATAGGTGCCTGCCTCATTTTTAGAGTCATCAATCTGCCTCCTTTGACATCTTAATAGGGACGTGTTGCAATCTCCTGGTGCCTTTACGTCTGTCCTTGGTTCCTATCTGGTCTGGTGATGGCCTTCACACTTTTCTTCTAACACACACATTCCTCATTCACACATAAAACAGGATTGGTTTACACAGAACATTTGAACAGGAACATCAAATTGCAATGCAGGAAAAAAACAATCATTGCATTCTTTTACTTATTTCAAAATGCTAATTTTAAACTTACAACAAAGCGGTGACCCTAAAGATCTATTACTGCCTTTAAATCAGCTTCAGACACAAGATTCTGGCTAATGCATCTTTACCAATGGCACACTAGGCCATTCCTTTCTACTTTCAGAAAGGGTGGCTGGCAGAATATGGTCAAATCATATCATACATCAATATATTTAATACATGCTACATTATTTTTCTTTATTCTTCATTCTAAATGATACACAATACATAAAACATAAAATCCTAGTACTACACCCTGTCGCCCATTCCCAGCTCCTGGCAAACAGAAGGAACAAAAAGGGAAGGGCAGATTTGTTAGCAATAATTGTGAACGCAATTATCATTTCTAGTTGTGAGCTACACAGTATGAGGAGTGATTACTAGTAATTAATAAGTTTCTACTTCAAGTCACTTTATCCATTGGAATATTTTGTTGCTTGAATAATCAGATAACTATTTTTTTTTCAATTTTAGGAGGAAAATTGTGTCACTATCAATCACTCACTTTGATTAGTACCTTACTCTGTGTGTAAAGGTGTGTAAAAGCGGCAATATTGACCCCCTAAATGGTAAGGCACTGGTAAATGGTAAGTGACTGGAAACATCACCATATTTCAGTAATGTTTACCTTGTCTATACAAGCTTTCTAATGCTTTGCCCAGTAATATAACTCATCCAGAGTTGGGATATTTAAATGCTTATATTTAATTGTACCACAGGCTCGATTCTGCAAGGTACTGATCCTACTGACCGCAATCTAGCAAAGTACTTAAGAAAATGCTTAGCTTTAAGCATGGGTCTGTAATGTAACTGTTCACCTTCTTAAAGTTAAGCATCTTGCATAATTGCTTTGCTGGATCAGAGCCAGAGCGCTCAGAGCTTTGCAGAATTGAACCCCATAATTCTGAACTATAACACTAGAGATTACATTAAATCAGAATTCCAGATGTGAATTTACCCAAAGTTTTGGGAAGTTCATATTCAGCTCTCAATGAGTTGGGATCATCTTCAGTAAAAATGGATTAGAAATTATTGAGTAATAATCAACAAAGAAAACTAGGTACTTAACTGAATCTTATTTACCATGTAGTGTGAAATCTTGGTTTAGACAGGCCTTTGGATATCCTGTTGAGGTTTATCAGAAGTCTCATTTTGTTTTGTCTCACAAAACTAAGTGATTGGGCAACAAAATGGCAAATGAAATTTAATGTGGATAAATGTAAAGTAATGCACATTGGAAAAAATAACCCCAACTATACATACAATATAATGGGGGCTAATTTAGCTACAACAAATCAGGAAAAAGATCTTGGAGTCATCGTGGATAGTTCTCTGAAGATGTCCATGCAGTGTGCAGAGGCGGTCAAAAAAGCAAACAGGATGTTAGGAATCATTAAAAGGGGGATAGAGAATAAGTCTGAGAATATATTATTGCCCTTATATAAATCGATGGTACGCCCATATCTTGAATACTGCGTACAGATGTGGTCTCCTCATCTCAAAAAAGATATACTGGCACTAGAAAAGCTTCAGAAAAGGGCAACTAAAATGATTAGGAGTTTGGAACGGGTCCCATATGAGGAGAGATTAAAGAGGCTAGGACTCTTCAGCTTGGAAAAGAGGAGACTAAGTGGGGGATATGATAGAGGTATATAAAATCATGAGTGATGTGGAGAAAGTGGATAAGGAAAAGTTATTTACTTATTCCCATAATACAAGAACTAGGGGTCACCAAATGAAATTAATAGGCAGCAGGTTTAAAACAAATAAAAGGAAGTTCTTCTTCATGCAGCGCACAGTCAACTTGTGGAACTCCTTACCCGAGGAGGTTGTCAAGGCTAAGCGTTTAAAAGAGAACTGGATAAATTCATGGTGGTTAAGTCAATTAATGGCTATTAGCCAGGATGGGTGTCCCTAGCCTGTTTGTCAGAGGATGGAGATGGATGGCAGGCGAGAGATCACTTGATCATTACCTGTTAGGTTCACTCCCTCTGGGGCACCTGGCATTGGCCACTGTCGGTAGACAGGATACTGGGCTAGATGGACCTTTGGTCTGACCCGGTATGTTCTTATGTAAGCAAGGTGTTAACATCATATTCTTTTCTACTACTGATATAAAAGTTTGTTGGTAATAATCTTATTGATAAATTAAGATACTACAAACAGGGGTAGAGGAGTTATATTTAAATTAGTTATGGACCTTTTTACAGAATCAGGTTTTTTACTGTGATTAACTTTATTTTCAAAACTACTGCACTTGTAAATACACAGATAGGGCTAAATTCTGCTCATTCTATTCACCCAAGAAATCCTATTGTGGACAATGGGACTCTTTTTTATTTCATGAGAACAGGGATTTGGAATTAGCCCATAGTATGTATTGCTGCAGTCAGCAGTACATATCAGAAGTTGAAGCCATAATTCTTTATGGAATCCAAGCTAAATGGTGAAGTAGCAATTAGATAATACATCAAGAAGGGCTATATTTTTAAAAGACTGATTCCATATTGATTTTCAGGTAAAATATTGATCCACTTAAAATGTAATGCAATGCTTATATTGTGCTGCATCACAGACTTTATTCAAAGTAATTTAATATTGATCAGCAGGCTAAATGCTACACAAATACAGTTTTTCAGTTATGTGATTTTTATGAGAAAACATTGCATCCATAGTGAAACAAATTAGACTGTCAAGCAAAAGAACAAGTTTTGCAGTTTTACTTGTTTTTCTTTGCCCCTCATTGCTGATTTACAGTTTATTTAGTTTAACATGAAATGCTGGAAATCGCTTTAGAAATATTTGGATATATCAGTGTCAGCTATGAACACTTCACATTTGTTGTAATATATTTTTTAAGATGCCTGTATTATTATGTACAAAGCAGTCAAACGAATTTGGAAATGGAGCAGTGCCATCAAATGTTCCATTGAATTCAATGAGAATTGAATTATGATTATGTATTATTTGTATTACCCTAGCATGTAGGAGCCCCAGTGATGGACCAAGATACGACTGTGCTAACTGTACAAACACAGAACAATGAGCTGGTCTCTTCCCCAAAGAGTTTATTTAATTCAATCAGGCCCATCTCCAAAAATGTAATTCTACCATCATTGAATTCAGAGGAAGATTGATCATTGGCTTGAACAGGAGCAGGATCACACCCTTAAATATATGAGGACAGAGTCCCTTTATTTGTCACTAGGTGCAATGTAGGATGGTTTACGAAAATGAGCTGATGTACAGAGTGACCTCAAGTGTTGATGTAGTTCCATCAATTCTCTGAGAAATACAGTCCTGGATTCTGGTATTTTTATGCCATTTTTATTTTTAAGTCCACTGAAGTCTTTGAATCTTATCAAGTCTTTTGACCAACATGAGTTTAAATTTTGAGTTGCTCGGGAAAGTTGTAACCATGAATGTTTTACAAAGTTCTAGTTTCTTTATAAAGGTTTGGGCATCTTGCCTATAGTCCCTTCCCGCCCACCCCTTCAAAATCTTGGATCTACCTCTTCTTTTCCTCTGAAAGTAAAATTAAAAATAGTTCTAACTTCAGCTCAGAAACAGAGGCTCCAAATGATCATGTAATTGAAGATTTAGAAATAACGTATTCTGACACCAAGATAAATTATATGCTGCCACTTACATATTCAATATAGATGGAGGCAACAACTGTGATCATTTGAAATGGAGTGTCCTACTTCAGAGTGGTAAGGGATGATGGCATGCTCAGAATTCGTTAAGGTTATAGAAAACTGCAACTTAGACAAAACTTAATTGGAAACCAAGTAGCATAATCACTTTTTAAAAGTGAAACTGTTAATGGAATAAAATCCTTTTACATACAACAAGGGAGGGGAACAGTAAATTGTACTTAATTCTGACAAATAACCAGAGCCTTGGATAAGCTAAGTGAATCAAACCTCTTATATGAAGAATATAAAATATGCTAATGAACAAGTCCAAGGGCAGAGCCATTACATTAAGACTGAATAGCAGGAGTATGAAAACAGCTATGCTTTTTCCCTTAGGATGACAACGTTACATCTGTAAACAGAGCACAGGAAGACGTGCTTAGGGGGTGCATACTTCAGATGGACCTAATTAGCTATGTTCTATTTAGTTTTGCGCACACCCTAGTGAACAGTGTTTTTCGGGATGAATGAACCAACCAATTTTTGAGTCCCATTCAGAGTTTGTTTTAGGTGGTTAAGTTTGGTTTGGGTACAGGGGTTCAAACACAGTGGAGGCACATTTTCTCCACTATAATGTTAGTAGATACTAAAAAATGTTAACAACTCATACAAATAAATCACATCTCTTCTGTAAGGAATCCAAATGTCCCCTTTAAAATAAAACACTGAATATGAAAAGAGAGAAACCATAGTAGATTCACTGATGAGATGTTCAGAAACCACAGCACCCAGAATCTGTCTGTCTACCTGGCAACCAGTATTTAAATTTAAGCAATTTATTTATTGTGCAACTCTAAATCATAGACTTTTATTCATAATGTTGTGTCTAGTGTTACTGAAAATCCATAGATCCAGTGACTGCCTGTTAGAGACTTCTACTAGAATTAGCCAACTTCCCCAGAGGAAGAAATAGAGAAGTGGCACTTCTCTGATTTCCATATTTGCCATTATATTGTGCTCACAATATTTCTAGTGATGGCCATTCTGCTGCAAAAGAAAATATTTTGACTTGTTTGAACATTTAATATGGCCTCAGCCACTTTTTATGATTAAATAATTAGAAACAAACTGATACATGTTCTTTGTAACCTGATGGAGGCTATTGCTTTTTTCAGTCAAACTTGTTTTCATGAAACAAAAACAAAAAAGTTGTCAGCAGACCTGTCAAAATATTTGTATGCCTTTTTAGTGGTTTCCCAACATAGCTATTTGAAACAGATTGTTAAATATAAGAAAATAAAATTGGAACCAGTCTGTATTCAACCTGAATTCTGTATTTTGTTTTTTTCTGTCCTGGGTAAGTGGAGTCTCCCACTTTCACTCTCCACCTCTTCTGCCTTTTAAGAATAAAAACTTCCCATTCCCATCCAATGAAAAATGGGAAAGTTGCCTCCTAGGTACTTTCTCTCAACTTCCCAAGATTCACAGATTTACCCAGGAGTAATTTCTCCAAGGATTTAGGAGTCCTTGTAAATGAATTAGCATCTGGGAGTTGCAATGCAGCTAACTCCTGAGTAAATTATTGACCAAAAGCACAAGTTTAGAAACACACTAGGCCAGGGGTCGGCCACACGGCTCGCCAGGGTAAGCACCCTAGTGGGCCAGGCCAGTTTATTTCCCTGCTGACGCGGCAGGTTCGGCCGATCGCGGCCCCCGCTGGCCGCGGTTCGCCGGCCCGGGCCAATGGGGGCGGTGTGAAGCTATGGCCAGCACATCCCTCGCCCGCGCCACTTCCCGCCACCCCCATTGGCCCAGGACAGCGAACCGCGGCCAGTGGGGGCCGCGATCGGCCGCACCCGCCGCGTCAGCAGGTAAATTAACTAGGCCGGGACACACA